CTATCTATCTATCTATCTATCTATCTATCTATCTATCTATCTATCTAATCTATCTATCTATCTATCTATGGACACACGTGTAAATGTACACATGATATACCAGTGCCCCCTAGTGTTCATATTTTTTAAAACTATGCGTTCAACAGCACTTTTTTCATTTTTGAATAAATGGGAAACATTACCTTTAAGCTCTAAATTTTAATCTATTTAAATATAAAACAGTATTTTGTGAAATATTTCACTAGGATTGTGTTAATTTGTTTTTAAAAATTTTTTTTGTTTGTTTTGTTTCTTGTTTGTTTGAATGTTGCGAATCTGCGGACCGGAAATGAAAAACAACACGCTGTTCGGCAGACAGGAAGCCACGTGTCCAGCTGTCGGCGAAGCACCAGAAGCTGAAGCGTCTGACAGGAAAGCTTTACATGTCGCTGCTTTGACTTTATTTAAGTGGTGGTACATTAAAGAACGTTTTCAAACATGTCTTCATTCAGGAAAGCGCTAAAGTCCCGACAGAGGAACCATCATGAGAGATCGCAGGTTAGCATTTAGTGTTCTTTTTTTAGCTAGCTGTCTAAATAACAACTAGCCAGCTATGCTAATAGCTTACCATAATACTTCTCCCCAGTTTTATAAATGTTAGGCTATGTTTGCTGTTATATTCAACTGTACAAACAACAGCAATAATAATCGTGTTATAACTGTTTTGTCCAACCAGCCTGGCTTCAGGAAATATATGGGTTTACTGGAGAAAAAGAAAGACTACAAACTTCGAGCAGAGTAAGTTAAACAATTTTATGTTTTACTTTTCAAATAAAACCTCGTGTCAGATGCAGTATTTGTTTGTTTTTGTAATTATAGTGACTATCACAAGAAACAAAACACCCTCGCTGCCCTGCAAAAGAAAGCTCTGGAGAAGAACCCAGATGAGTTTTACCACAAGATGATCAACTCCAAACTGGAGGTAAAAATCAAAACTTTTCACATCCTTTCTGTGGGTCGTATTTTAACTCTGTTTTCTGTGGTTTTTGACAGGATGGAGTTCACACCATGACGAAAGCCAACGAGGAGGTGGAAGTGACGGAGGAACAGCAAAAAGTGATGAGGACTCAGGATATGAAATATGTGGAGATGAAGAGGGTTGCTGAGGCTAAGGTGTGTTAAATGTTTCACTGCAGTGTGGCGTGTCCACATGAACAGTTATGACTTTTCCATAAAGTGGATTTCTAAGCCACCATTTATTGTTTTAATTTAAAACCGTTTCACAGACTTGGTGTGGCGTTTGTGTTAGTTTTAAAGTCCTCTCATTAACATGCATCTTTGATGATCTGACCACAAATTTTGCAGCTCTGAATGCATCCATTATCTTTTACCCGCTTCTTCCTTTCTGGGTTGTGGGGGTCACTGATGCCCATGTCCAGCAGTCACTGCGAGAAATGAGGGACACCCTGGACAGGTTAGAAGTCCATCACTGGGCCACATGGAGACAAACAGGACAAACAGCCATTCACACACTGAAACCTATGCACAATTTAGTTAGCAATGGACCTAACATGCATGCTTTTGGTCTGTGGGACGAAACTAGAGCACACAGAGAAGATCCATGCATGCACAGAGAGAACATGCAAACTCCACCCAGAAAGGCCCCGGGCAGGATTTGATCGAGCACGTTTGCCAAGAGGCAACAGCTCTACCAACTGTGCCGGCAGCTCTGAATTCAGATATTAAATCGCTGTGAGACTCGATTTATTGCTTCCTAAAGATATTCTCTTATAGGTCTGTGACTGTTAGTTGGTGATTGGCATTTGCAAGGGAGTCTGAGGTGTCTAGAAACGTTTGCAGGGATTCGCAATTTTTCATGTGAGTGGCAGAGATGTGCAACTTTTGTCACTAGTAGTTGAAAAATGTTCAAAGATTTGTGTGACAAACTTTCTTGAAGTTGTTAAAGATTTGTCACGTGTGTCTTGAACCCTTCTCAAACTCTTCTCAATTTAGTTACCGTATTTTATGGTTCAGAGCACCAGAGCCATGTTTACACACATGCATGGAAACTTCGTTATGGCAGATAACATTCAGGACTATAGACCAACTCTAAAAAAACAAAACAAATTATATATATATATAAATAAAATGTAATTTCCTGTCTTTATTTCAAAATGTATTCCAGTAGCTTAAATGTGGGTGTGGCTGCCAAGGTTAGTAAGAAAAGAGGCAGCAGTAAATGAGATGAAGGCAGAGGTGCGCAATGAAATGATGTGCATGATCTAGGAATACACTTTTGTGAGCCACGTACACGACAAGCCTTAATTTTCAAAAGTTGTTTGCTCTAACTGCAGCCATGATTCTGCTCTTTTGGTTTCAAAAACGTTGAAATCAGTCAGACTGTAAAAGAAAAGTTTCGTTTTTTTATTGCAGTTTTAAGTTTTTCAGCTAATATCCAACAGTCAGCCCAGTGAGAGACTTTCTTTGCACTGCGTAGAGATAGTCTGGTATTCAAATGGGTAAAAATAGTTTAACAATGTAAACATGGAAACGTACAAAGTCTCAATGAACCACCTTCTCAAATGACTCAATTTACATAAGCAGCGGGTTTCATGTTTAGATTTATTTGCTTGGATAGTTGCTTTAGTTAACTTGTAGTTGTATAGCCTTAAACATTTGGAGTTGTACTTTTTTAAAAACTTTGCTTTCACATTGCATTTATAATGTTAAATTGTTTTATTTTAAATTGCGTGTCAGTGTCATATATGAGATAATACATTTGTCATGCTATCATTCATGGTGTATGTTCATACCAGGTGGTGGTAGTTGTTTTCAGATCGTAGCTCAGCATTTACCAAATACTCTACAAGTTGTCTTAGTACAGCTGCTGCACAACACCAGTTACTGATTTGACTGAAATTAGAGACATGCTTTGGCCTTTTATGTGACTTCTGACCATAAAATAATTCTCTTCTTGTGGTCTTCCTGTCATTAAGTTAAGCTGCAGTTATTCAAAAGTCTTAACGAGATCAACATTTGTTGTTTCAAGACGGTCGACCACAAAATATTTATACAATGATCAGTCACTTCAGTTTTAAATGGTTAGTTTAGAAGTGACTTGTCCACATAACATGTCAGCCCTTGTCTTGGCATGAGGAGAACTAGTTTTTGTTCCGATTCTCTGGTAGTGTCAACGGTGTGAGTTTACAGATTGTGTCCCATGACTGAGCATCTCCATCTTAATCTCTGCTGTTGTGTTGGTTGGGTTGTTTTATGTTTCCAGAAAATTGAGAGGATGAAAGGAGCTCTCCATCTTCTGGATGCAGAGAGCAAAGAGAAGAACAAACATACTTTTTTTGTGGATTCCAAGAAGGAAGGTAAAAACAAACGTGTGCTAGACAGAGTGGAGAAGTAGCTGATGCTTGAAGCTAGAAATGATTTAATTGATGTTAACAAATATTACGTTTGAGTTGGTTAATTAGGGACTTTCTTTTTCTTCCTCTCAGTACAGGGATTTGACCTGGCTACACACCTGGACACAGCTCCAGAGCTGGTGAACAGAGTCTACAACAGACCAACTCTGCAAACACTGGAGACCCAGTGCATCCAGGGAGCTGCCCAGACCTACGCTGTACAGGTTTGTTATGGAAACAATGAATGTAACGAACAAAGATCACATTCATTTTAATGTTTCTGAGCAAAAAAGGATTTTGCTCTGATTTCCAAAATTCATTTTCTCATTAAATAGATTCTTCAGCCTGAACTTAAACTCAGTGGTTAAACCATCATGTCTGTTTTTCTTCACACGCAGAAGCTGGCCAGGCAAAGGAAATACCAGTATAAGCTCCTGGCTCAAAGGATTGACAGAGAAAAGAAAATGTTTGTCATCAGCCAGAAAATTCAAACCCGAAAGGATCTGCAGGTGAATAATTGTTAAACGAAAACTTTACTGCTATTGTGTGCTGTCTACATGTGTTGTTTTAATATTTCTCCTTCCTCCAGGATAAAAGGAAGAAAGTGAAGGTAAAAAAGGAGATGACTAATTCTGCAGCGATCTACAAGTTTGAGACCAAAAGAAAACGCTAATAAGAACTGCTGGGTGTGAAACTTTGAAAATAATGGACTTCTTCCATATTAAAGTGCATCGCCTGCATCTCAGCAGTGATGAGACGTATTTTCTCATTATTGTTAAGGCTGTGCGTTTTTTGTACATAACAGTTTTCTTCCAAATAAATAAATAAAAACATGTTAATAGTTTTGTTGTCATGAGGATTGCTTAGCTTTATTTAGTAACTGATGTTTGTGGAGATATATATATATATTTTTTTTTTTACCCATTTTGAGGTAGAAAAAATGGTTAATTTTTGAAGAAGTCTAAAGCTGAATATATTTAAAAATAAAAGCATTTGTGCTGTGGTGAACTGGTCTGCTAAAACTGTGTATATATTTACCACCACTGGGGGGCATCAGTGATCTTTGACCAGAAAATTTTTGTTTCAAAACTGAAACAGCAGCTACTGAAGTTTAAATTTTAGTAAAGCTTCATAAAGTTGTTTTAATCACTGCATCAACTGAGCAGTATGTAGTTTAAACAATTCAATATACTTTTTAAGTTCTGAATGGCCAGTGGAGCTTTATTTCACGACATTTAAAAAACTCAGCACAGACGTGTTTATCTGATCTTTGGTTTGTAGAAACGTCTCGTCTTATTTATCTTGCTGAATTTTATATCAACCACACAATGTCATTTTTCTTCACTTTTTTTTTTTGTAATACCACAAAATTATTATTTTGACTTTTCCCCGTTTAGGGGTTGCCACAGCAAGCTGTCCTCCATGATACCACTCTGTCCTCATATCTGTTGTAATATCACAAAATACAGGCCAACAAATAAATAAATGCAGCACTGCAAAAGTGTTGACCTACTCTTTAAGATAAGATTTTCTTCCTGAGAGCCACACAGTCTGTAATGATGCATCTTTACTTCAGCCGAGCTGTTAAAGACCAGTTTTATGCAACACATGCAGATAACAAGTTTAAGGATGATTCTCAAGTCAGTGAATAATCATATATACTCAACACAGTTACTCATTAGCTAATTATAAGTTAATAAGTTTGTATCTCAGCTTCTAGTGTCACGTACCTGCACGTGATACGCATTGCCGTGTCGTAGATTGATCATTGAAGGAGCGGCAGCTTCACGCAGGAGACACTGAAGGGCATCGGATAAAGAAACGGTTCAAGATCAGGCAAAGTAAAACGAGGTGTCCATTTAAATTACACTGAACAAAAATATGAACGCAGCACTTTTGTTTTTGGTCTCGTTTTTCACGCACTGAACTCATCTAAGACTTTGTATGTACTGTAAACAAAAGTTCTTTCTCAAATATTGTTCACTAATGTGTGTAAATCTGTTAGTGAGGATTTTTTATCCACTTTTCAGGTGTGACATACGCTGATTAGACGCCATGATTATTGCACAGGTTTGCTTTAGGCTGACCACAACAAAAGGCCACTCTAAAATGTGCAGTTTTATCACGCAGCACAACAACACTGATGTCCATTATTTTGCGGGAGTGTACAGCTGGTAGGCTGACTGCAGGATTGTCCACCAGAGATATTACCCAAACACGGAATGTTAATTTCTTTACAATAAGCCGTCTCCAAAGTTGTTTCAGAGAAATAGGTAGCACATCTAACCGGCCTCACAACTGCAGACCACGTGTAACCACACCAGGCCAGGACCTCCACATCCAGCATCTTCACCTCCAAGATCGTCTGAGACCAGCCACCCGGACAGCTGCTGCAACAATCAATCTGCATAACCAAATAATTTCTGCACCACCTGTCAGAAACCGTCTCAGGAAAGCTCATCTGCATGATGTCATCCTCATCGGGTTCTCCACCTGACTGCAGTTTGTTGTCGTAACCGATTTGAGTGGGCAAATGCCCACAATGGATGACGTATGCTGGTGTTCTCTTCATGAATGGATGCTGGTTTTCACTGTACAGGGTAGATGGCAGACAGTATGGTCAACGTTGTGAATCGAGTGGCTCGTGGTGGTGGAGTTATGGTATGGGCAGGGGTATGTTATAGACAACAAACGCAGGTGCATTTTGAATACGCAGATATACTGTGATGAGATCCTGAGGCCCGTTGTGCCATTATTCCATGACCATCACCTCATGTTGCAGCATCATAATGCACGGCCTCATGTTGCAAGGATTCGTACACAAGTCCTGGAAAGTGAAAAAAAAGTCAGTTCTTGCATGTTCACCGGACATGTCACCCATTGAGCATGTTTGGGATACTCGATCGGCTTATACGACAGCGTGTTCCAATTCCTGACAATAACTTCGCACAGCCATTGGAGTGGACCAACATTCCACAGGCCACGATCAACAACCTGATCAACTCTATGCAAAGGAGATGCATTACAAGGCAAGAAGCAAATGGTGGTCACCAGATACTAACTGGATTTCTGACACACACACCCTCCAGACCTCCTCAATACAGTAAAGCTTCACGTTTTAGGGTGCTCACTAACACACATTTATTTTGTGAACAAAATTTGAAAGAATAAGATCTTTAATGTACATAGAAAATGTCTTAATCTTGGAGTTCAGCTCGTGAAAAATGTGAGCGAAAGCAAAAGTCTTGCATTCATATTTTTGTTCAGTATAGTACTTTTTAAAAATTATTAACCTTTATTTAACCAGGCAAATCCCATTGAGATCACAGATCTCTTTTGCAAGGGAGGCCTGGGCCTGAAGGCAGCCTAACGTGCATGATTTTGATCTGTGGGAGGAAACCGGAGTGCCCGGAGAAAACCCATACAAGCACGAGAACATGCAAACTCCACACAGAAAGACCCCAGGTCCAACCGGGGATTGAACCCAGGTCCTTTTTGCTGTGAGGTAACAGAGCTAACCACTGAGCCCTTGTGCTGCCATTTCTACTGTTTAAATCAGGGGGCTCCTCCAACCTGATCAAAAATAACCTGGAAATTGATGTTTATTGACTTGACTAATGTTTAAAGCCATAAGATACTTGTTTTCTGCAATATGTCAATAAAGTTCATATTTAAGATAAGACAGAACTTTATTGATCCCACAGGAAATTGTTTAGCCAGTTTACATCTTCATTAATTAAAATTCCAGCTGTAGTGTTGTCCGTCTCAACAATCCACTGGAGAATAAAATATTTTAAACACATTTACAGAGAGTTGGGGAGAAAAGGGGAAAAACTGTATTTTTCTTTTAGTGTGAAAAGAGACTGAAATCACTTTTTTTGATTGTAAAGAGCAAACTGCCTTTGTAGATATTCTTAAGTTATATGCACGTAAAGTGGAATTATTGAATTTAATGCATATATTTCTCTGCAAGTGACAAACCACATATATATTTGTGACATTTCAATATTTGGTCATTCATGTCAGAACTATCGTAAATTAGGGAATGACAATCTCAGCACCCCCTCCTTGCGTTCACCCTCCCTGCCCTCAATACTGCGTCACAATGCTGAGAGAGCGTGCATGAACCAGGACCCCGGGGCCCACTCTCCGTACGCTGAGCGGGTGTAGGTCACTGAGGAGAGGGGTCAAAACACTGTGTGCGCAGTTCCGGGACCCTAGATCTGACTGTACAACCCAGACACAGTCAGGCCTCTGTTCCCTCCTCAAGCACTCCTTTCATTTGCCCCCCCTCCCTCCCCAGCAAAGGGACTCTTGCACTGGGGGATGCAGTGGCAGGGCTCGGGTGGGCAAAGGGTGACCCTCTGATTTTAAAGATATAGACAGGCGCTCCTCTATTGTGAACGGCCTCATAATTCATTTGGCTACATGCACAGGCGGTCGCTGATCTTAATGACCCTTGAGGCTGGTTAACAGATAGTCTGGTTAGACTGGAGGGTTGGAAGTGAAGAGCAGAGCGGGTGGCAGTCACACAGCTGCAGGGTGCAACGCTGACCCTGGAAGCGAAAGTCTAGTTAAGAGGAAGAACGACACAAAAGTTCTTTGTTCTACAAGTTAAGTTCTCAGATAACATGGAAAATCTGAAATGTTGAAAACTGGCACTTTTTATGGAAGTTTTGAGAACCCAGTTACAACGTTTCAGGATCGGGATTCTTCTGATCACACAACAAACATTGGGCATTTAAACCTCGCTGTTAAGTCAAATTTGAGGAACTTGAGTGTTGTTTTTGACAAATCTGTCTCTTGAAAATCATTTCAACCAGTTGGTCCAGTGGTGTAGTCTGTGTGATACGCTGGTATATGGAGTAAACCCACTAGAAAAGCGTGGGAATTCCAGTATACCCACTTAAAAGTGCCCAATTACATGCGCCCATGCCATATATCACTGGCAATGATACATGACATGGGCTCGTGTAATTGTCAACACATCTGGAACATTTTATAGACACATTGAGTTGGTTCAACCTGTTTTTTTGTATAATTAATACTTCTGTACTTAATACTTGAATATGTTTTGCTTTGATACTGTTTTATAAATTCTATACCATGTTTTTAATACAAAACCAACTGTTGTACAAAGTTTGTTGTACTATAAGCATCAGAGAAATTTTGAAATGTTCAATACGCTTAAAATTCTAAATAAATTAATGATTACATTGTACTAACTGGTGTACTTTGGTTTCTAAGCACAGTATACCCACTACAAAAATGTAGACTACACCACTGAGTTGGTCCCAAAGATTTTTTTCAGTTGTGGACCATTGAAGAAGGCTGGTGTCAAAACATGAACTAATTCCATTTTTAAAATTTATTTCTTGGCATTTGATTTCACTAAAAACACCATTGACCATCTGAGCTGGTCCAAATCTCTGCAGCGAGGCTTCTAACTGGATTTAACATAAGTGCCCAAATGACTCCTGTTGTTCGTGAGGCTGACACATTGTCCAGTTTTAAGACTGGGCTTAAGACTTTCCTTTAGGGTCGGCTTGTTATGCTATAGGCTTAGACTACTGGAGGACAAATTGACCTCATATCATTAAATGAATTGTTTAAATTGAATAGTTTACATTTTATACTATTTCTATCTTAACATGTGATTCTCCACCTGCCATTGTGTATCTGTTCCTCCTCCCTGTTCTTCTCA